ATGAAAAAGTCGAGTTTTTTCGGAAATATGAAAAATTCATTTTTTTTTTCGGAAATATGATAAAGTCGAGTTTTTTCGAGAATATGAAAAAAAATGAATTTTTTCAGAAATATAAAAAATTGAGTTTTTTTCAAAAATATAAAAAGTTGAGTGTTTTTCAAAAATATGAAAAATTGATATTTTTTGGAAATACAAAAAATTGATATTTTTCTTGAAATATAAAAATCGATTTTTTTTCGGAAATACATAAAATAAATTTTTTTGGAAATACTAAAATTTGAGTTTTTGGGAAATACAAAAAATTGAGTTTTTTCGGAAATACAATAAATCACTTTTTTTTGGAAATACACAAAATTGATTTTTTTAAAAATATAGAAAATCAAATGTTTTTGGAAATCCAAAAAATCGAGTTTTTTCAGAAATATAAAAAAAATCAAGTTTTTTCTGAAATATGAAAAAGAAGAGTTTTTTTTCCAGAAATACTATAAAATCAAGTTTTTTCAAAAAACAAAAAAATCAAATTTTTTCGGAAACACAAAAATTCGATTTTTTTCAAAAATATAAAAAAAAATCGATTTTGTTTTGGAATTGTGAAAATAATTTATTTTTCAAAAATATAAAAAAACAAGTTTTTTTGGGAAAACGAAAAAACATTTTTTTTTCGAAAATACAAAATACGAAAATAAGAAAAATTGAAAATATATTTTTTCAAAAAAAATTTTCTTTTATAAAAATAAATATTTTGAGGAATACCTTTTTAAATATAAATAAATTTAAATTTTTATGAATTTAAAAGATTTAATTTTAAAAGTGCTCAAAATATGTAATTGATTTAAAATTATAAACTGTTTTATAAACTAGTTTATAAATATAAGTTAGTTCTAAACTAATTTTAAATTGAACGAAAATCATTATATTAATTAACTGAATTTTTATTAAAGTAATTATTGTAAAGTGATCTAAACCATAAATATGGTTCGGTTCAATGTTGTTCATGAACCATGAACACCTCTAATAACACTCTAGTTTTTGAATTATTATTTTAATTTATTTATTTATATTTTAATTTAATTATTATGTTGAATCGGAAGTTTATGGTGTGGATGTCCTTGAGGTGGGAGTGTGGAGAGGGAGTCATAGATTGATAGAATTAATTTAGAATTATTTTAATAATTAAAATAATAATAGTTTATTTGATTTATTTAATAAAATTGAGGAAATAGAGAATTTGGGCCAAAATTGAAAAATAAGATAAATAGAAGGGATGAAGGAGGGAAAGAGGATTAAGTGAGGGGAGAAATTACAATTTTAAATAGGTTAATATCCTAATTATGTAAGGTTAAGCATAATTCAAGTTTAGAGAGACCTAATTCTGATTAGTACGTAGAAACCAAAGTTGAGACAAAAGAAGACAAGTGGAAGGCTAGAGATTGAAGGGAGAGCACATTCAAACCCATTCAGATTCAAATTTCTCGCTAGGAATTAATGTAAGGGGGGAAATTTCTTCATAAATGGGTATAATGCCTGAAGGGTAGAATGGGGAGTCCTTAACCTCCAATAGGATCATTATATTTCTTATTGAATTTTGTATTTTGGTGGTGGATTGTTGTTATGTGATAATGTTTGTGATGAAATTTGTGTACTATTATGTGTGAAAATTATGTTTATGTTTGCTTTGAAACTCCCCTGTTGTTGTGTTAAAAAAACCTTGAAAATGATGATTTCGTTAATGTCAATTTGTGATATATTGTGAATTTGTTGTTTTAATCGATGAATAATTGTAGTATGTCGAATTGTAAGATCGGGATCATTTATGGAATCAGAATTGGAGGTCCGGAAGACTTTCAACAGTGAAATATAAGTTTCTAGACTGGTTTTTGAGCCTGTAACTGGTTAACAACGGAGTGTAACTAGTTACCACTATTTATGGTGGAAAATTGCAAAATAGAAAATGACGTAACATGAGCTGTGTAACTTCATTTGAGATGCGGTGTGAAGCGTTGAAAAGCTAACGTGAAACATTACCCCATGGTGATGGTTTAGGAGTTTAGTTATGTAAGTATGATGAATGGAGATGAAATCATATGATTACGTGTGATATGTTGTCATTATAAAGGTGAAATAATCATAATTCAATGGTGTTGTTTGATAATGTTGAGTGCTAATCCTACTGATTATTCTACTGTGTGATTGAGAATAACTGATGATCATGTTGTGTTGAATGTGTAAGTTATGATGTTGACATATTACCGTATGAGCATAAATTATATTAATGTATTGTGTGATGTTGTTGTGGGATAATAGTTCGGGAAGGAAATTATTATTATTGAGTCAATGCATATTTTGTTTATTCTCGGGAGGGGACTTTAAACATTATGTTTTTGTTGCATTGACATGTATTGACATGCATCATTATGTTGTTGTTGTTGTCTTCACCTTAAGCGTTTTGTTGTCTTCACCTTCCTTAAGGAAAAAACCTTCCAAATGGATATTGTTTAGTTTGTCCTTTATGGGATAACCGAGCTGACGACGAGATAAAACTGGGTTGTAACTGATACCTCCTTTTGTACCAAGAAGAGGCACATTAGGAAACTCACCACAACTATCAATGAGCACGATTATACCACTCAATATCAGAATGGGTGAGATATATAATCTTCTGTGACCACGACAAGCCATCCTTAAAATCCCAAAAAGAAGTAGATCGAGGAAAGTGAGAAATAAACCACTTGTACAATAATGGCACACAACATGTAATCATTCCTCCTCCATAAGAATTCTTGAGATGAACGGAGTAGTAGGCATTTGTAAGCAGAGTAGGAACTGAATTTCCAATTAAGAATATCTTGATGGCATTGATGTCAACAAAATTGTCAACATAAGGGAAGAGGAACAATTCATAGATAAGTAAGGTAAGAAGAGTCTAAAAAGTATCCATACTCCTCATGCTAGCATAGTAATGAGCTTTGTCCATCAGAAACTTTTCCAGCTCACAGTGCCACCATTTGAGCAAAACACATAACTAGATTGCGATCTGAAGTCATCCTTATCTGTCTGAAAGCTAGCATCGTTGTATCCAATTACAGCAAGCTCTTCCGACCTCCATATACCAAGGATGAGTTCATAGTCCTTGTCAAGTACTTAAGGATATTCTTGACAGCTACCCAATGAGCATTACCGGGATCAGATTGGTACCTACTCGTTGTGCTTAAAGCATACGAGAGGTATGGTCGAGTTGCATAGGTATGAATCATTTCTTGGAATCATGCATATTAAAGCGTCTCAACACTTTGTCTATGTATGTACTCTGACTTAGGCCAAACAGTTTTTGTGATCTATCTCTATAGATCCTAATTCCTAATATATAGGCTGCTTCACCAAGGTCTTTCATAGAAAAGTATTTTCCTAACTGAGTTTTCACTTGTTGAAAGGTAGGGCATCGTTTCCAATGAGTAATATGTCATCTACATATAATACCAGGAAGACGATCATGCTCCCACTAACCTTCTTGTAGAAATATTTTATTTTAAATAAATAGCTAAATTGTTTAAATATTTTATTTTAAACAAAAAAAAACTAATTTTTAAAAATATTGTATATATCATTTTTGTTTAAAACTTTAATTATATTAATTTATCAACAATTTCATATTGGCGAGAATGATTTTATATGAAATAATATCTTGACAATCTATTTTATTTAATTTTCAAGTTTAATTCTAATATATAGTCTTTTTATTTATTTATTTTTATACTCGGTCTATTGTAAAATTTTAAGCTATATTTTAACAATTTCAAAATATAACTTCCTTCTTTTTATCGTTTAAAATTTTAAGATATATTTCTACACTCTCCTATTACAGGATTGCTATGTTGACACCATTTTCTACACCCTACACTCAATTCACTGTTCACAAATACTTGACCAAATTCTTCAAAATATGATTAATAGTGTGTATTTTATTGGTTAATGAAGCAGTGAAAGTGGTTAATAAATTATAGGTAAAATAATTGGTTAATGATGTAGATTTTTGTGGTTAATGCAACTCTGAAGTTGGTTAATGCGCAATACTATATTTGTGTTATAAAATAAATTTTAAAAATAAATATTTTTTTTTAAAAAAAAATTAATATTTTAAAAAATATATATTATTTTAATAAAAAAACACTGTTCACCGTATAAATACGGTGCACAGTGCATACGGTGTAAGTATTGGGTGTAAAAATGGGTGTAAGAATATCATTTTTTTCTCCTATTAATATAAGCTTTATTTTTCAATCAATTTTAAGTTAGTTTGGTGTGTGTGCTTATAATAAACATCAAAAAAGATTGGAGTAAATGAATGAAACAAAAGCAAGAACAAAATGAGCGGTGACAAAGAAAGATCAATATTGTTTTTTCTACTCAAGAATTAAGAAATTTGAGCACGATGAAAAGTGGTTGACAATATAACAAATGATACGAATCATCGTCTTGTCTCGTGTTATAAGAGTCACTTTCAGAATTGGTTGTTATTTTGTTTGTTACGAAACAAAATAAATTGCACACAAACCAAACACTCTCATGACTCCAATAATACGCATCTCCTGTCTTTTTTCATCCATGAGATATTCAGTCGAACTTTCTATCATTTATTTTCATGCTTGAGATATTCAGTCGAACTTTCTATCATTTATTTTCATGTCTTAAATATTAGATTTGGGATGTGTTACAGAGTCTCGTTATAATGAGGAGAATCTTTGTAGAGGTGAATAAATACTAATCTTAAAGCATTTGGTGTTGAAAAGTTTGGAAGATTCGAAACTTGCAGTAATAAAAGCTGAAAGAAGCCCGTTCGGCAAAGTTTGTTTTGTGTAGAGAAAAGATTCTTCCACCGCTTTTCCTTCTTTTCCTTTCTTCCTCTCTACCTCTTTGGTTATTGCTGAATTCAGATTTTGTTATACATAGTTTTCTTCATCAGTGACAAGTGTTATTTCTTTCTCCAAACACTATCAGAAGAAATGGCGAAACTTTTCTGGTTTCTCATTACAATAGAACTTGTTTTCACCAACTGTGTTTATGCTATATATCCCTTCAACCAAACTCAAAACCTCTCTTTAATGGACTTGGACTTGGAGGAGGAGGCTCATGAACGTGAAAATCTTCTCCTTGTAGGACTCACCCTTATCCACAATGCAGCTGCTAAAGGAGCAGGTACTATACTACTTCTTCTACCTTTCACTTTCTCTGTAGCACCACCACCTCTGAAAAAATGTGTCTGCGACACCAATGCTTATGTTTCAAAATATTACTGGTGTCGACGTTGCAGTGTGCTTGGATGGAACATTACCAGGTTACCATTTGCATCGTGGATATGGCTCCGGAGCAAACAGTTGGCTTGTTAATTTAGAGGTATCATAATCACTTTATTATCTCTCTCCAACTATCTTCATGTGCTGATGAAGCGACTTTCCTTCTTTGTCAGGGAGGTGGATGGTGTAACAATGTTAGAACATGCGTTTATCGCAAGAAAACGCGGCGTGGATCATCATTATTCATGGAAAAAGAGATTCCATTCACAGGAATACTTAGTAATAAGCCTGAAGAAAATCCAGGTTTCCATTGAATTCATCTGTTCATTTTCTGATTTTTTTTAATCTGTCATAGTCTTTGCAAGCTCTGATTATGTTATGGTGTTGATGTATTTTTTATAGATTTTTTTAATTGGAATCGAGTAAAGCTTCGATATTGTGATGGTGGCTCGTTCGCTGGAGATGGCGAAGATCAGGTACTGGTGTTCTTCAAATGATAGAAATGATGATTTACTTATTACTTGCATTTGATATGATGTTTGGTGAGATAGGCTGCACAGCTGCAATTCAGAGGACAGCGTATTTGGGCAGCGGCGATGGAAGATTTGATGACAAAGGGAATGCGTTTAGCTGAGCAGGCTCTTCTTTCCGGATGTTCTGCGGGCGGCCTAGCAACTATCATACACTGCGATGAATTTCGAGGTCTATTTCCGAGGACTACTAAAGTGAAGTGTCTGAGCGATGCAGGGTTGTTTCTTGACTCGTAAGCAACAGACAAACTACATATGCCATTTCTATCATCATTGTTTGAGCTTTTGTTAATTGTTGTTTGCTTTGAAATTTATAGGATCGATATATCGGGCGAACGTACCCTGAGGAATATGTACAACGGTGTTGTGGGGATGCAGGGTGCGCGGAAGAATCTACCGCAAATTTGTACTAATCATCTTGATCCAACCTCGGTAAGTGTAATCATTGTTTTCGATTTGTCAAAAAATTTCAGTTTGCTATAAACTTGAACTTTTAATGACTGTTTCTTTTACTCCTTTTCAGTGCTTCTTCCCTCAGAATTTGATTGCCAGTGTTAGAACACCACTTTTTCTTCTTAATACTGCTTATGATTCTTGGCAGGTGAATTGCCTAAACTTGATCAATTGGTGTAGTCTTTACTTCTGATGATAAATAAATCCTACGATATGATGTGTCGCAGTAGGACAGACAACAGACACTAATATAGACTAATTAAGTGATTAAATGTAACAATATGCGTGTCAGTGTCAGTGTTGTGTCTGTATTACATGATACCGATCGTTAAATTATTTTTTGAACAGATCCAATCAAGTTTAGCTCCACCATCAGCAGATCCTCATGGCTATTGGCATGATTGTAGATTAAACCATGCTAAATGCACTAGGCCACAACTCCAATTTCTTCAAGGTAATGTATGACAAATATAATATCAATTCATCGCAAATAAATACTTCATCTGATTTTATATATAAGAGAAATTTTACTTTTTAGATTTATTAAATAATCAATGAATCCATCACTTATAAATAAAACTCGAGGCAGTAACGTTATTCGGTTGGTTGATACATTTCATTGTCTCTTAAATACAGGATTTAGGAACCACATGTTGAATTCTATTAAAGATTTCTCGAGATCAAACAAGAATGGATTGTTCATTAATTCGTGTTTTGCTCACTGTCAAACCGAGAGACAGGATACATGGTTTTCAGACAATTCTCCGGTTATTGAGAACAAGGTGAGCATTGAACTTATACTTTTAAATCGTACACATTAGTTATACTAGAAATTTTCGATAATATGTATATACATTGACAATATATAGGTGATCGCTCTAGCGGTTGGAGACTGGTTTTTCGACCGGGCAGGTGTTAAGGTCATTGATTGTCCTTACCCTTGTGACAATTCATGTCACAATCTGGTTTTCAGTTGAGTTAAAGTTCAGACATCATAATCATCATCAATGGAGGGTTATGTTATTCAATTAAGTGACACAACAAAAAGTGAAAAAATGTTGCTAAAAGTTATTTTAATAGGCCATTGGCGAAGTTGAAAGTGGTTTTAAGTATTTGAGAATGCTGAGGAAAATCCTTTTTACTTTTTAACAGCATATGTAATATGTATAATGTATTCAGCTATAGAATTGATCTAATATAAAAAATTAGATTATTACTATTATTTATTTTAACTTCCTTTCATTCCAACTATATATCCATTTTCCTGGACGGACTAATTCTGTTGAAAATCAGTTTTAATATCAAGTGATTTTAATTCTCTTTAAATTATATGTGCGGAAGATCGAATCATTTTAATTTGATTTGTGTTTATCTATTTAAAGTAACAAATAAATTCTCTTTGGACTTTTATGTATGCAAAGTAGACAGAAAAATAAATTTAAAATCTTTTATATTTTTTGAAAGTGTGTTTTTAGAAAAATAAATATTTATTTTAATTTGTTAAAGTTAAAAATATTATATAATAAATTGTAAAATTATCTAAAATCCTTAAAAAAATGCTCATTCATACAATTTTTTAGTTTTCAAAAATACTATTAAAATGGAGATTTTGGAAAGTTTTTAAAAGTTTAGACAAGTAATTTAAATTAATCTATACTTATAATATTCATAAAATTAAAAATATATTAATGCTAACATTCATTTGTCATTTTTATAATAAAACACAATCTCAAAAAATGTGAAAAAAAATCACAATTTATTTATCTATTTTCCTTCCTTCTAGTTCCTTCTATATACTCTCCCCTCCAAAAAATGGTAAGTTTTTTTTCTCTCTCTCTTTTATATTTTAAAAGGTGAATTTAAATTTGTTAAGGGAAAATTTTGATTTGTCTTCTATTTTTAATATGTATAATTTTATCTTTTTAATATATTTTTTGTTTCATAAAATAAGCACATTTTCTGCTTTAAAAAATATATATATTGGTAAGAAAATTGAAAAACATGATTGAACCAAAAATTAGTTAATGAACATGGGCTAATTTAGTCATTGCGCATAGGATGAGGACTAATTGGGTTAATTTAATCCGATTCCATTTTGGGCTTTAAAGACCAAGTTATAGGGCCAGTTGTATAATGATCAAATGGGTTCATTGAGATTTTATCCTGTCAATCGCATATGACACCCCCATACACTCTATATACATTTATCATATTAATCTTAAAAAATATTAAAATTTATTTTGCAAAATCATTGAGATTTTGAGTTTTTGAAAAAGCTCTTGCAATTATCAAATTTTTTTAAAGAGATTACTGCATTTATGACGGGTAAGTATGCTCTTTTATTAAAAAAATTGTTTATATCAGATTTTTTTTAGTTAAAAAACATGTATTTTTATCGTACTTTTGGAAATAACCGGTAAAAACACATATTTTGCATGCAACTTTTATCATATTTAAAAAAAAAATCGGTAAAAATACATATATTGTTTCTAATATTTTAAAAAGTCTGAAAAAAATGCATACATTATACTAGATTTTCTTAAATAACTAGCAAAAATGAATGCATTTTAATCAGATAAAAAAAAAATATAAAATGTATGCATTTTTACCAGTTTTTTTCTTTTAAAAAAATGAGAAATAGTCATTGTTTTTACCAAAATTTTCAAACAAATCGTGTACGTTAAATATTTTTGTTCTTTTTCAATGTGCTTTGTCCTCACTCACATGCTTTTTAAAAAATTTTCCAAAAGGTCACCCACCCAAATATTACTCCAAGTCAAGTACGCTTAACTATGGAGTTTTTATTTGTTAGGCTACCGAAAAGAAGATGCATCTTGTAGTATAGGTAGTACCAATCAATCCATATAAGCCTTCCTTCAATCATGCAGTCTCATACCTGATAACCTCAATATCCCTCTCATTCCGATGTGAAGTCAGTTTTTTCCTAGAAGCTTCCAGGAACCGCACATTGTCATGCCTTGTGCACATGCGACCACTCCCCGCCCCGTCGGCCTCATGTGTTATAGTGAGGACCAGATGACATATTACTTATCGATAGCGGGATAAAGCTGAAGCTGTTCCAGTAGGGGCTCGAGCTAGGGGAGATAAAGTAGAAGACTCGCATCTCTAGACATGGAGAGTATCCTCGATCGAGTTTCACAGAAGGCGGATGGAGGACAAGCAGTTTCGTGTACCTCGCAGTATCCTGCATAAATGATTCAGACGTTGAGGATGTATTGGCAACAGTTGAGGATGACAGGCAGATAGTGGCCGAGACAAAGGTTCCCTATCCTTTTGAGACAACAGAGGTGCCCCATCCTTCTGAGATGGAGGCTCTGACTACTATAGAGGTTACTCTGCAGATGACTATTGAGACGCCTATTACAAATGATATGAAGGCTACTACTCCGGTTGATACAGAGACCACTGCTTCAACTTCGACAAAGCCATTTGTACACATTAATGGAAGGTTTCCTGAAGGGCCCAGTGACTGTTATGTGCTCACTGGATAAGTCGATCATGTGGCGTTCAGATTATGGCAGGGAAAGATATGTATATGATATATTCTGGTGATGTGACTTTATTTATTATTCACACATTGAAATTGTTAGACTAAGGCACGGATCTAGAAGGGGGGGTTGAATAGATCCCTTTTAAAAATTTGAGTGGCGCTACCAATAAAATTGGTTTTCAAAATTGTTTTCAAATGCGGAAGCGGCCTTGGAAAATATAGTCTAAAACGAACAACTATTGGAGAGCCGGATATGCGTCAAGCAGATGAATTTAAGACGATAACGGATAGTAAATCACTACACACTTTTATGCAAAACTCAGATGTGATTCACTCGTACTATTTCCTTATTCCAATGATCAAAAATTACACCAAAACTAGCAGCAAAATTAAGGCAATTTTAGTTCAGCACTTTTGTCGAACAGTTGGTGTGCACAAATACCTTAAATGATATTTGTGTTGAATGAGTGATTGAAAAAGCCTTAGTACAGTATTTCTATTGTACTTAGTAGTTAAAAAACAGTGTTTCACCAACTCACTCAATCAATACTACAATTTGACAAAATCACTTATTCTAGAATCACTTAATTTTTAAGCTGTAATTGAAAATGCAGAAAATAAAGGAACACAAGATTTGATGAGGCAGTTCCCCCAGTCGTCCTCGCGTTGGGGTACGTCTGCCCTCAATTCTACAATGAGAATTGAGATATGTATTGAATAGATATCACCTGTTTGGTAGAACAGTTATACACAAGAATCGATAGACAATTGATACAAACAATCTTAATGTTGCTGATAATTTCTACCACTTCTTGCCCCTTGATTCAAGATGAATCAAGTCCTCCAATTTGATGTGAATGACCTCCGATTGCAGCCACCTTATTGACAACTCTTCCGTTGATCAAACCTTCGGCACGGCTGATCTTAGACACACCCAAATTGAACCCGGAACGTCTTCAACCTTTCAACGCCCTAGCTACTAGATTGATCAACCTTCCGCTAATCAATCACCTTCGCACTCGCTTGATTGTTGAACCGACGATTCCGTAACAAAAGCCTTCAAAACCTGTAGTCTTGATAGGTAAAACCTCAAAGGTTTTCTCCCAAGAAACACCTGCACCAGCTTCCACTCGAACCGGATCTTCAATCACGCGTTCGAACCTTATCACCGTCGAGCAAACCACAAACCGCAGCAAAAAAAAATTGATTATCTGTAATTTGAGGATTTGTGAGTTGATTGAACGATGAAGATGAAGGACACTGATGCACCTCTTTCACGTTTCTTGACCTGAACACTTTCTCACAATGCTTTCAAAAATGTTCGTTGTTAAAATTGAAAAGACAGCTATTTATAGTAATATACAAAACAGACAGTTGACAGATCAATGAAACATAGCAGAATTTCTGTTTCTGCGCGCGAACGGTCGACCATAGGGTCGGCGTGCGCTGAGCCGTGTGACACTCAAACTGTCATGCGCCGAGTCAGCGGTCGACGCATGATCTTCATGCGCTGAGCCGTCTGATTCTTAAACCTGCATGCGCCAAGTTAACGGTCGACGCATGACCTTCATGCGCTGACCCGTGTGAACTGAATGAAACTGTGTGCTGACGGTATGGTCGGCTCATGGTTCAAAAATCTGCAAAAACATAAATTTCTACAGCTTTTTGTGCATTACGTCATTGTAAAAATTGAATCATAAGTAGCGTGAATGATTTAAACGAAAGAAGGATATCTCTTAGCAAGTTGTCATCATCAAAAACCAGAGGCACGCTTGTGTTGGTAGATACTTTGCCTTCACAGAAATAACTGATGGTTTTGAATTTGTTTGTTACAGGACCGATCACCTTTGAAGGTGCTCACCCACGGGGGGAAGCTAAAGAAGTTCTTAGATGTTCTGATACCATATGAGGTCAGGGAAATTATTGATGATTATGATCTCCTTTCACCTGTGGACTGTTTGTTGACCATGTTCAATTATAAGCTATTGACAACCTTTGTTGAGCGATGGCACAAGGAGACATATTCCTTCCATCTTCCATTTGGTGAGATGATGATTACCTTGGATGATATCTTCTCTCTGTTCCATCTTCTCCAGGCATGTAGTTTCTTCACGCTCTTTTTATTAGCCATGAGGTTGCACATATGCCTACTATACATGACTTGGGGTTAATGAGGAGCAAGTGATAGAGGATTTTAGGACTATAAGGAGTGCACACTTTCGCCTATCTTGGCTCTGGGGTAGGTACAAAGATTTAGTGCATCATGGTATATATGTGGAAGCCTCTAGGGTATACATGTTACATCTTTTAGTATGCAATATCTTAGCAAATAAGTCTCATTTATATATCAATATGAAGTACATTAAGCATGCCAGTTGGGTATAGGGGTGTGTTGCACTTACTGTTCTATATGCTGTTGTGATTGTTCTATATGCTTCACTTGGAGAGGCGACTGTTTTTAGAAGA